TTCCACCAAGCATTTTTCATCAAAGTGAATTTCCAGTTATACCCCTCCTTCATTCAATATTCAATTCGGGTTTTTTTTATCTGAATCTGAATTCAAAATTTGAAATGCAAACTCTCTCTTAAAAATCAATTTCTCTCCCCCTCTTCAGAAAAACCAAAACCTAGGTGTCGGGACCTTCGTCTTTGTTTTCAGTCACTGCCAAACGATTGAGCAAAAAAGGTAAATACTTCGTTTATGGTCTTGATCTTAAGACACATTAGTGTCGATGTTTCTTCTTCATTCTATTTGTTGTTTAAAACCTTAATATATTTGTCTTTTTTCTCTATCTGTTTCTTTCTATCTATTATAGAATTGGGTAGGATGAGATAAGAGATACGTACACACACCCCTCAGATAGATCTTTGTCTTTCTATTTTATGTTCACATACACACACATCTGTCACCCTCTATCTTTCTGATTTAGGTTTTTTCATTTCCTCGACTTATCTCTTTCTGATTTAGGTTTTAACTTCAATTGTAGGTATGATTGGGATTTTCTGAAATATAGGGTTTGTGATCAGAACATGAAGTTCCCTCTTCAAGTAGTCTCACTAAAATCCTTTAGTTTTTTTAGTTCATTTTCTTTTAAATCCCTTTTTACACTAATATTTTTTATCTGGTGCAGAATTCACAGATAGTGAAAAAAGTGGGGCTGGAAGAATAAACAAAATGTTTTCATTTGTTATATGGGTTTTTTTGTACCCAGAAAAGTCCGAAACTCCAAATGCACAAGGTTAATATTTGAATTTTTTTGTTATAATTCCTTCTCCCATCTCCTTCCAAGCAAATTTATCATGTCAACCCTGTGAATTATAATGTAGATCAAAATTTCCATCAATATTATTTTCTTGTCAAAATTGGGTGATCACGTCAGACAATCCAACTTGTGGTAAAGGACTTTTGCTCTTATAAGTATTCTTATTGTTGATATGGATTTAATTAGTTGTTTAGAAAAATATATTATTGATTTGGCACATCTTTTTACATTTTACTCTTTTCGGGTCCTTTTTTTTGTTCTCTCAGTTTATAAATGTTGATGTTTGATCTTATGTGTTCAACGGCTGGGATAATGGCAATGGATCTCGATCTTAAGTTTACCAGTTGCTAGAAGAATAATAATAGACATGGAAGGTTATAACAAGGTTTTACCAATAAAAAGCTTACACAGGCTCAATTGGATGTAGGTTTACGTGTCTTTTTGTAACATCCCAAAATTTTGAGCCAATTTAAAACTTTTTGATTCATTTGAAACCATTCAATTATTACAATTTGTTTTCAAAATAGTTTATACATCAGAGTTCCCAGAAATCATAATCGTAAATCGAGGAAGTGTACGGTCACGCCTTCGCCTACCCGCGGCCATCCGCTGAACCTGAAACAATAAACTGAAACTGTAAGCCCGAAAGCTTAGTGAGTTACCCCCAAAATACTAACCTCATATAACCATAATCATATCATATCAACAAATACATAAGACTCTTGCATCTCGAGTATACAGTGTGACTGGTCCGCCCGCACCGGGCCTTCAGTCCACCCGTTCCACTCTCTGAGTCTACAGTATGACTGGACCGCCCGCACCGGGCCTACGGTCTATCTGGATCTATCCCGAGCCTTCGGTATGACTGGACCGCCATACGGGCCTACAGTCTATCCGGACCGCTCGTAGGGTATGTTGGCCTTCAGCACGAAGCAGGACCGCCTCAACCCAAACATCAAGCAAATAACCATGTGCACATATAACAGGTAATCACATAGCAGTCCATAGACAGACAAACCGATCTAGCAGATCATATAGTATAGCAACATCCTAACCAGGATACCGACCTAACCGATCACTAACATAGCATCATCCTATATACAAGGATACCGACCCTAACCAAGTCACTAAACATAATACCGTCCTAATTATCAGGACGCCGATCTAACAGATCGATAAACATATCAACAATCCTATAACCAGGATATTGACCTAACCGGTCACTAACATAGCATATCACCATCCTAACTACCAAGATGTAAATCAGTAAGCATGTCATGCAATAATCCAAATACAAACCATTAAAGGGCCGGCATTGGTGCCTTAGACCCTGTTGATATAGTGAGGATAACTCACCTCACCATGCCGCACTGAAAATGATAGGCTAAAACTCTGGAATCACCAACACGAACTCCACCACTTGTAGTTACCATAAACCATTTTTCCATAAATCTCCAATTTACCAAAATACCCCCAGAGGTCAACTGGTCAACCCCTGGTCAAGGTCAAAGTCAACAGTCAAGGTCAACAGTCCATGTTGACCCTAACTCGCCGAGTACCCTCGGCTACTCACCGAGTTCCTTGAAGGACTTGTCCACTGGCCGAGTCACCGGAGTGACTCGTCGAGTTCCTTCGGTTTACGATAAAAACCCTAAGGCCCCTCGTCGAGTTTCCTTCTTGCAACTCGACGGTTACACGCGCATACATAAATTGGGGAAACCTCAACCGACTCGCCGAGTTGTTCATACAACTCGTCGAGTCCACGACAATCTTCATCGGACTCGCCGAGTTGTTCATCCAACTCGTCGGGTCCAGGCTCATCTTCATGAGACTCGCCGAGTCAACCTTGCGACTCGCCGAGTTCCTTCAGTCCTTAAGCCATACAGACTCTTTTAAACCATGCAGTGGCTCCAAATTACAGATCCAAGCTTCTAAGGCATGCCTTTCACGTAAAGTTGCAAACTTTACGTGCATGCATAGCTACAAAGGCTCTTAATGTCAAATCCAAGCTCACAATGGGGGTTTCATACTCAAAGAGGCTTCATACATGACCAAATTCGGAGCTTTATGACTCTAGAACCCAAGAAGGGTCTAGATCTGAAGTTACAACTTCAGATCTAGCTCATATCCCACATTATCATCTCAATCAAACCATAAAACCCTAAATCTCAACCAAAAGAGGTCTAGAAGGAAAATGAAGTAAAGGTGACGACTTGATACCTCCAAATGATGCTATCTGAGGTAGATTTCTGATTTCCCACACTTCCTTGCCCCTAGCCTTTTGTCCTCCAAACTCTTCTTCTCAAAAGATCTCCTCTCCAAAGCTTTAGACACACAAGAATGAAGCACCACACGGATTAGGGTTTTCTGAGCTCTCAAAGGACTGCAAAGAGGCCAAATGAGGCTTATGCTTCTTTAAATAGGGTGCAAAACCCCGGGATTTAGGGTTTCATCTGCCAGCTCCTACTCGTCGAGTCCCTTTATGGACTCGGCGAGTAGGTCACTTAAACTCACGGACCAACCCGCTGCTACTCGGCGAGTCAGGTCACCAACTCGTCGAATAGACCTTGAAATCATGAGAATTTATAACTATAAATGGATACTCGAGAATCGGGGCGTTACACTTTTTTTTAACCCTCACTAGATTTTCGCTTATTTTGATGTTTATTTTCTGATTTTGTATATGACTAGCCCCAAATTATACAAGAGTTTGAATTTAGAAAAGCTATATCAAATCAACATATAATCACCAAACTGGAAAAGGCCCTTGGTATGAAAGTTTTGGGGTAAGAAATAGAACTTTTACAATGTTGTCACCAATGAGGTATATTTTATTAAGTTAGAAAGTTATGTAGTGGCTTATTTCTTATGACTAAAGTGTGTTTTATTCAATCGGAAAGTAAGCATTTGCTGTTTCTGTTTATTCAATTGTCTTGTGGTGTTTGCATAATGAAATCCTACTCTCACATTTGCCCTCCCTCTTATTCTTTCTTTGTCTCTCCCTCATACTTCAGTAGTTGGTCTCCAGGTCTCCAGGTAACATTAACCTAACTTTCTTTTTCCCTTTGTTAATCCTTTATAGAACTGGATTTTAACCCGTGTTGGTGCACATATGTGTAAATGCATAATATTGTGCCCACCAACTGTTTGAATTTATTCCTTACAGAACTTGCTCTTATATAATGTATATTTGTTTTGGCCAAATGTAGCCAAGTAACTTCTTTTTTCCTAAAGTATTCATGTTAATTGCATTTTCATACTCATCATTTGGTTTTACTTCTTTTTCCTAAAAATATTATAATAAGAACCATATATGTGGTCTCTTTTTGTACCTTAGGAATTAATGGTTTATACTTTTTAGTCATGGACAGTTATTGGGATATTATCAGTGTCATATCCTTCCTAATTGTCAATCCTATTTGTTTATTGAACTTATTTAATGTGAATGAATATTTAAACTTATAAACAGTTGATATAATTTACATATATAATCCCTGTTTTAACATCTTAATTGTCTTAAATGGTCTCTGTTTCATAGTTTTTTTCAAAAAAATTAGTTAAAAATTTACTATTAATTTATATATACATTATTATTTACAAAATAACTTTTTAATATCATGTTTTTAATAAACCACTTTAATAAAGTTTAATAAATCTTTGATTTTCTATTATCATTTTTAATTATCAATATAAATTTTTTTTTACCGAATGTAACCTAGTAATATATATAGGAGGTATCACAGTCACATATCCAATTCATCATGCGGATAACCCTGATTCAGGTGCAAAATGTGGTGTTACATAATTGGTTGTTAGTTTGCCAATATAAAAAAATGTTAGTTACTTTCTTTAAAATGTTAAAATGTAATAAACTTATGATTAATTTAATTAATTTTCCTATTTCAACATTACATAAAAGCTTATATTTTTTTTCGTAATTACAGTCACGCCATATTTATTTTAATTGAGGGTTTTTTTTTTTTTTTTTAATTATCTCCTGGCTCATAATATTTCGCATAATGTTCTTTTAATTTGGAAATGGAATAAAAATAATGGATGAAAGTACTATAAATTATAAATTATAACTATAATGTAAAACCAGCATTCTTTTACTGAAAAGTGAAAACACACACGCAAACCAGCCCCTTGTATTCAACCCCCGTCACCTCCTTCTCTGTACCTCACAAACATCTCGCCACTATATATACTCTTCCATTCTTTCTCCGTTCCCTCACACTCAATTCAAATCAAATATGGATACTAAGATCGGTAATGTAGATGTTGTTACTACTCCTAATGGCAATGTCGGTTGTCCTCCCAAAATCGGCGGTGCTAGTTGCGTACAGTCCTCCTCCGTACCATTCAACTCCACCGAAGCCACACTCGGCCGCCACCTCGCCCGCCGCCTCGTCCAGATTGGTGTCTCCGACGTATTTTCCGTTCCCGGCGACTTCAACCTAACTTTACTTGATCATCTCATAGCTGAGCCCGGGCTCAATCTCGTAGGATGCTGCAACGAGCTAAATGCAGGATACGCTGCTGACGGATACGCTAGGTCTCGCGGCGTTGGTGCATGTGTTGTCACCTTCACCGTCGGTGGACTTAGTGTACTCAACGCCATTGCCGGTGCGTACAGTGAGAATCTTCCGATTATCTGTATTGTCGGTGGACCGAATTCCAACGATTATGGCACTAACAGAATTCTTCATCATACAATCGGATCGCCGGATTTCAGCCAAGAGCTTCGTTGCTTTCAGACAGTCACTTGCTATCAGGTATCAAACCTCGCATTTATAAGCAGAAATATGATACTGATTTTTATTTATCGATCGTTACACACTTTGATCTTCAATGCGACGCCATAGCTGTACCCTGTAAAAAAGCTATGTCGATTCTAGAGATTCATTTCGATTGAAAAAATCCGCCAGTACGAAATTATACACCTATAAACTCCGAAGTTGCAATTTGTGAATCGACAGTTATACAATTAATCTACATCGATATCGATGGTAATAATACAATAAAATTGCAGAACTGTTTTCTTGATTTGTTATTGTTATATGAACGCAGGCTGTTGTGAATAATCTGGAAGATGCACATGAACTAATTGATACCGCAATATCAACTGCTCTGAAAGAAAGCAAGCCTGTTTACATCAGCGTCGGCTGTAATCTACCTGCAATTCCTCACCCAACTTTTAGCCGAGAACCAGTTCCGTTTTCTCTATCCCCCAAGTACGTTCCACAAATCTCCTTCCAACTTATAAGCATTGTTCCATATATGTTTTGAGTTCATGTGGTTAATTTTTCAATGGTGTAGGATGAGTAACAAAATGGGTTTAGAAGCCGCTGTTGAGGCTGCATCAATGTTCTTAAACAAGGCAGTGAAACCTGTAATGGTGGGTGGACCTAAACTCCGAGTTGCAAACGCCTGCCAAGCGTTTGTAGAAATGGCAGATGCTTCAGGCTATGCTCTTGCAGTAACCCCATCAGGAAAAGGGCTTGTTCCCGAACACCACCCTCACTTCATCGGAACATATTGGGGTGCTGTAAGCACTGCTTTCTGTGCAGAAATTGTTGAATCAGCTGATGCTTATGTGTTTGCTGGACCTATATTCAACGATTACAGCTCCGTAGGTTACTCTCTCCTTTTGAAAAAAGAGAAAGCACTCATTATACAACCCGATCGTGTCACCATTGGAAACGGGCCCACTTTTGGTTGTATTCTAATGAAGGATTTCTTGCAAGCGTTATCCAAAAAGATTAAAAAGAATACCACTGCATATGAGAATTACCATCGGATATTCATCCCTGAAGGGCACCCACTACAATGCGCCCCTAAAGAGCCATTAAGAGTCAATGTTCTCTTTGAACACATACAGAAAATGTTGTCAAGTGACACAGCTGTAATTGCTGAAACAGGGGACTCCTGGTTCAATTGTCAGAAACTTAAACTGCCACAAGGATGTGGGTAAGCATCAATGAATGTTTTTCTTTTTCAATTAACAAATGTTAATAATCTTGAATTGTTAATCATCAAATTTGGGTGTTGTAGGTATGAATTCCAGATGCAATATGGGTCGATTGGTTGGTCAGTTGGTGCCACCCTTGGTTATGCACAGGCTGCAACCGATAAGAGGGTGATTTCTTGCATTGGTGATGGAAGTTTTCAGGTGACAGCTCAAGATGTGTCAACAATGCTGCGATGTGGGCAAAGAAACATCATATTTGTGATAAACAATGGTGGCTACACCATTGAAGTAGAGATCCATGATGGGCCCTACAACGTGATCAAGAATTGGAACTACACAGGATTGGTTGACGCAATACATAACGGCCAGGGCAATTGTTGGACCACCAAGGTTAGTTATTTCAACAAAAACCATCTGACTTTTTTAAAGTCAGACGGTTTGGACCGGGCCATAAATATCATGGCCCGGTCCAGTCTACATGAGATTTCTGTAGAAGCATCTCTATCTGTGTGTGGAAGCGAGACTCTCTACATGAAGTGATTTCTGACAATAAAATTAACCCGATGAAATTTATAGGTATTTTGTGAAGAGGATCTAATTGAAGCGATTGAGACTGCGACGGTGGAAAAGAAGGATTGTTTGTGTTTTATTGAGGTGATGGCTCATAAGGATGATACAAGCAAAGAGTTGTTGGAATGGGGTTCGAGAGTTTCGGCTGCTAACAGCCGTCCTCCTAACCCTCAGTAAAAGCTTTGCATACGTGCAAAGCTTTTAGTTTGGTGTTATAGTTGTGATATCATGAGATATTTAGTTTGGTATTGTTTGTTATAAGAATGTGTGTTGTATTGATCATAAAGGCATATAGACTGAAATTAATTTGCAAGTATATGAAATGATTTGACGATGAATTTGATTGAAGGAGGTCTTTGGTGCATTGAAATTATAAATTATTATTATATTTAACTTTGTTCATTTCTACCAATTAGATTGCCTATTTTTTATTTCTGAAAACTTAAATAAATTTGTGTTAAAAGATATTAAAAGTATAAATTTAATTTCGGGAAGAAAAGTTAAGATAAAATGACGAGTCGAAAGAATTTATCGTAAGTCTATTGGTCGTCAAAGATTCTTTGAATATGGCTCCGACAAAATCTTTCTAACTTGATTTAATTGATCTTGAATGGATTTCAAATTTCATTTTTGTATGATTCGATCATATTTAATGGGGTTTAGTTCATTTTTTATCAGTTAACTTTTGGTTTATGTTCATTTAGGTGTTGTTTGTTTTTTCTGAGACAAAATGTCTGCAGTCTGCGGACCACATCTGTAGACATCTGCAGTAGAAGAGGTTGACCAAACGTCTACAGTCTGAAAAAAGAAGACTGTTTGTTTTTTTAACATCTGTGGGCTACTAAAATAAACTGAAATCTAAAATAAACTGATTTTTTTTAAACTTCAAAGTGATTTTTTAATATTTTTATGACTTTGTTATAAATAATTAACAAATCTAGATCAACTTTTATGTATTATTGTATAAAAAATAAAAATAAAAATGATATGAATTAACGTATATATTTGATAAAACCAACAACTTTGGTTGCAAAGTTATAACTAAACATTATAATTAGGGATTAAAGAATTTGATACATAATTAGATGAAAATAAAATTCGATTTTTTCAATTAAATCTATTAAAAACGTACCATAAATATTTTCCCGAGAAATTGACGATATTGTATTAAATAATGTTTTACAAAATTTGGCAAAAAAAATATAAGAATATATTATGATTTTTTTTCATATTTATATAAAGAACTTCAACAACTATTACTGTAATAAATCTTTATTTATAAATTTGTCAATAATATCATTTTTGTTTTGTCGAACATTTTCTTTTTAGTATTGTAATTTTTTTTCAAATTGTTTATCATTAATAAAGTTGGAAAAAAATATAAATTTAAAAAAAAAACTTAAAAAAAAAATAAAGATATATGTGTTTTTTAGGCTAGAAGATGTCTGAAGATGTTAGAAGACTCTGGTCCACATCTGCGCCAAGAAGAGGGCGTGCAGACATTTTTAGGTCTGCATTCTTCAAAAAAACAAACAGTCTGCGAAGGCTAATGTCTGCGCGTGGTTTGCGCGGCGCAGACAGAAAAGGCCTCGCAAATCTGTAGATAAAAAACAAACAACACCTTAGTCATTTAACTCATTTTAAGTTTTAATATGTCACCGAACTTTTAGCTTTGTACTCATTTAGTCACCTAACTTTTGGCTTTATGTTCATTTAGTCACCTAACTTTTAAAATCATGCTCATTTAGTCACTAAATTTTTAAGATAAAGTTATAAAAATAAGCACAATTTTAAGATTTAGGTGACTAAATGAGTAAAATTTAAAAGTTAGATGACTAAATGAACACAAAGTCGAAAGTTAAGTTACCAAACCAAAAGTTTAATGATCATTTTTGTATAAATTGAAAAGTTCACTGACCTCTTAAAACTTAAAATGAGTTAAATCATCAAATGAACACAAATCTAAAAATTAAGTGATAAAAAATGACCTAAATCCTATTTAATGAACCAAAACATAGCCTAATATTCACGATTCATGGGGTTTTTATAATTTATAGGGAAACTAAGTAAGCTAATCATATATATATATATATATATATATATATATATATATATATATATATATAAAAGAGAATATTTTGAATGTCATGCTAGTTTTCAACATATTGATTCTTTATTTCAAATTTCAAATTTTAAATTTTCCACTTTAATTAAATTAACTATTATAATTTTCTATAACAAAAAATATCTCTTAATTAATAACTTTTTTAAAATAATTTATTTAAAATAATTGATTAATAATTTTAAGTTTCTACTATGAAATTGAATTAATTTTATAACCGTGGTTCCACATGTTATAAATTGATAGGATTTAGGTAAAACAAATAAACTTAAAACCCTTAAGTCCACACGCAACCTAAAGGATCTATGTTTTCACTATTGAACCTATAACTAAGAACATCAAATAAGAAACCTTAGAAACCCTAAGTTATTTTCGAAAATACCAAAGAAGGGTTTAGGGATTACATACCTTATTGTTATTATAGTAAATAACAATAATCCTTCACTTGTAGATCTCTTGGAAGCAAGCACCACAATTGTTGTGCCTCTGATGGTTCACACTCAAGAAAGCAAAAAGGAGGCTGAAGAAAGATGAGAGGGGTAAGTAAGCGTTTCGACTATCCCTTAAGGAGATGGAGTGGCCAAAAAATCTAAGGCCTAAGACTAGTGGGTGTGGGCAACTAGTTAAGGGGTGTTATCACACCCAAAAATTGTCACGTCACATGCTATGTCATATGGGTGTTATAACACCAAATAGAGGAAATGGGCAACTAGTTATAACACTCGATGTCATCATTTTTTTTTCTTTTTTTGTCGATTTAATTTTTATTTTAAAAAAAATTAATTAAAACATGTTATTTTAAATAAAACCTATTTTTTTAATTAAGACTAAACTGCACAAATGGTCCCTGTGGTTAGCTGAAAACTGCCACTTTGGTCCAAAAAGGTTTAGGCTAGCACCAGAGGTCCAAAGTTTTCATTTTGTTGCGAGTTTGGTCAAATTTACTTTAAACTTTTTTGTAATTACGATTTTACCCTTGTTTTTTGCTTTTTTATTTATCTAAATATTTTTATGATTAAAAAAATTAATAAAAATATACCTCTCTCTCTCTCTGATTAAAAAAAACATAAAAGTAAAAATAAATCTCTCTCTCTCTCTCTCTCCTGATTTTCAAATTAAAAAAAACAAGAAAAAAAAAAGAAAAATAAATCTCTCTCTCTCTCTCTCTCTCTCTCTCTCAAGTCGTCGTCTGCCTCCCACATCTAAAACCTTAACACCATTAATCTTCTTTGGTTTTAGTGTATGGGTATGAAAATCAAAAGAAATTTGGCCTCAACCCATAAATATGTTCCTCTCATCCCTCTTGCATCTGATTCAACTTCAGCGTCTCCCACTCCGCCACCATCACATTCGTTCATCCAGTTGGAGATGTTCATAGCGACATTTGATTCAAATCCCTCGTGCATATGATTCAAATCCACCGACGAACTGTGCTTCTTCGTCTACCTTCTTCTTCATCTGCTACTCCAGACACAAATTTGGGATGTTCATGGCGGCAAGGGTTTCATGGAGACTATTCTCATCTGATGGCGGTGCTATGGTTTGCACAGGCGGCGCATCTAGGGTTTCCAGCGGTGGTGATGAAAATTTCGAGTTCTTCATGTAGCCGAGATCGCGTTGCTGTTTTTTCCGGTGCTTCCACCTTTACGACGAGCTCGATTTCACTGTAAATTGATTTTAATGGCGGGTTGAAGCCGATTGGGTTTTCTATTAAGGTTATTGATCTTTGTTACAATCAGATATTAAAGGAGAAACCAAATGTTGTCTAGTGGATCCTGTCAAATGGGTGATGTTTCTTGATCTATATCCCACACACACAAATCGATTACAAATTTGTTTTTTTGGGTTTTTTAGTTCCAGAAATAATTTTGAAGAACATACGATTTCATATTCGTTTTCTGGGTTTTTTTGGTGCTTCACATTCGATTTTAGGATTTTTTGTTTATTTAGTTCCAGAAATCTTTTAGATTTATGAGTTTGTTTGTTTTGTATGTGTGTATTTTTTTTGAAGAACTTTAGAATTATGGTGTGTTTTGGATTGTGTTCAGAGAGAGAGAGAGAGAGAGAGAGAGAGAGAGAGAGAGAGAGAGAGAGAGAGAGAGAGAGAGAGAGAGAGAGAGAGAGAGAGAGGTATATTTTTATTATTTTTTTAATCATAAAAATATTTAAATAAATAAAAAAACTGAAAAAGCTAAAAAACAAGGGTAAAATCGTCATTACAATAAAGTTTAAAGTAAATTGGACCAAACTCGCAACAAAATGAAAACTTTGAACATCTGGTGCTAGTCCAAACCTTTTTGGACTTAAGTGGCAAATTTCAGTTAACCACAGTGACCATTTGTGCATTTTAGTCTTTAATTAAACATAACATTTAAAAAACATTACGAAAACATAACATTTAAAAGAAAATTACATTTTACCCCTAATTTATTCATTTTCATTTCCATCGTACATAAAATCAACCAAATCTTCTCGAAGTTGTATGTGTTTTCGTGCGTCTTGAATATCTACGACCCTATGTAAATATTTCGTTGTCCCGGGTTGAAATTGCATGTGTCTGGACTCCGAAGCCGAATACCCCGCAATGTTTCGTCATTTATCTTCAACCACCATGTAATGCATTATGATACATGCATACATAATATCTTGTAGAACGTCTAACTGATATGGTTGTGTCGCATGTTCAACTATGTGTCATTTCGACTTTAGAACTCCAAAAGCACGTTCCATATCCTTACGTGCTCCTTCTTGTTTTCCCTTGAAATTTTTTTTCTCTTGGTGTTACTGGGTGTCGAAACGTCTTCACAAATGTGGAATATTCTGGATATATTTCATCCGTAAGGTAATACCCAAACTTATATTCATTTCCATTCACTGTGAAAGGAGCATTTGGTGCCTTTCCTGACAAACTATTATCGAATATTGGTGACTGATCAAGAACGTTCACGTCTTTATTCGAACTCGCAACCCCGAAAAAAAATGCCAAATCCATAAATCTTGGGGCGCAACATGCTCTAATACCAACAGAGGCATTCCATGCTGACCACTTACGTACTGGCCTTTCCACGCTTTCCACGCCACAAGACAATTTCTCCAGTTCCGGTGTGTGCAATCAATGCTTCCTAGCATACCCGGAAAACCATGTCTTTCTTCATGGACCGCATATAGTTGTTGTATA